TGGAAAATTTAAGGAGTTATTATTATGTACGTTTAGATGATACAACCGGTAGGATACTTTTGCACGTTACTGTAGATTGGGAAATTCTTCTCACTTTTAGCAACTCAGGATATCTTTAAAATGTATTGACATATCAACATCAGTAGGTAACAATGTGATTTTTGTTAATATAATTTATAAAAACAGGTTATGTAATCTCTGGTCTTAGCATGTAATGAAGTGGAAATATTTCTGATCTGGTAATATCTATATAGAAAGGTACATTTTTTTTATCCCAGAGTATGATTATGGTTTATTTTTAATTTGATAGTAAGTGAACCTTCTTTAATATAAACCTCATAGGCCTGGCCAATTTCATGATATTAGAGAATGATATATTCATCATTTTGTATTTATTATATTCAAAATAAATTTTTTTGCCAAGATAACTATATCAATTACTGTGGGAGACTGTTTAGTATTTGACCTTGGGGTTTAGCTCTTTCATTCGAGACTTGGCTAACCTCTACTCCTGCTTAGCTGCTAGTAAGTTAATATTCTGACCTTCACATTCATACATTTTGGTCTTGTATATGCAATTCTCTATTGTTAATCACACTACTACTCTTTATTGATGGGATCAATTTCTATATTCTGTAGTTCAGTGTATTAGTATATCTGATAACCCACCCATAGGAATTTGTGTTCACCAAGGGTATGGGTTTGACTGTATTCTTGGCTTATATCACAGCAAAATAAGCATAACTCTTGCATTCTAATTGCTTTAATATAAAATTATTTAATAACATAGTTAATTATTATGGAAGGTTCTGAGTGGATTATTTATTTTAATTTGCCAATGTTGTGTATGGATATTGCCAGTCCAGTTTTAAGTACAATGTATATTTGGATGATGGCTGCTTGTATTCTACCCACTGTAATAGTTAGTCTTGTATTCCTATGCCTATTCTATGTCTGTTCCCTGATACAATATCTTAACTGTTCTGCAAGTTAATGTTCAAAATATTCTATCCATTTTGCTACAATAAGTATCTAACATATCAATAGAGTCTTATGTGTAGCATAAACCACTATACGGACGGATGTTCTCTACACAAAAGCAATAAAAAAATATATATATAGGAATACCCGTATATGGAAATTATAATTATAACGGTTCAACTGAATATGAAAAAGCAATACGTTTCCTAGAGACAGGTTTCAATTGTGGGTGCTCAAAAATGATTCCAAGAGAGAATTTTGCTGAATTACGTGAAGCATTTCAAGCTCTCTCTAGATCGGAACAAGATATATTTTAATGGCCCAGTTGAAAGCATTGAATGTGAAATAACTGCTAGCCGACGTCTTAAAAAGAAAACGCGTACTAATAGAAGAACTTTTTATTATTGAGATCGCAATACGCCTCTTTGTCGCACTCACTTCGAAAACGTCAGAAATCATCTAGCAACGAATGGTATAATACCACGCGTTCATGGTAACATCAAACAAGTACCGCGATGGAAGACCAAGATAACCATTGATATAACCATTGCTACCGCCGTCAAGAATTTTATGCTGAAATTCATGGACTACCAAGTCCCGGTAGAAATGTCAATCGCATTACTCAATCACTTACACTTTTACCAGCCGAAACGAGTTATAAATCGGTCTATCGTAATTTTATTTCAGGTCTCGAAAACGATAGCACATTGAAATTGTTAAAATACGATGCATTTCGCAAGCTATGGCATCAATTAACGCCTTATATTCAAATTATGAGTCCAAGAACGGATTTATGTGACAAGTGCCAACATTTTCGGACCGGCTTACAGTATAATGCTCGTAAGGAAGAAGCTTTCTCAACAAACTCACACGCGCGTCAAATTTAACTCGACACAGATCATCAGCGGTGATAATAAATCATACTAAAACAGAATCATCGGCAAAAAAGCTTGCTTCTTATAGAATGATATCAACTTGCCGCCCTGACAGAGGTCAGCCTTGTAGATATTTATTATTGTTCTAACAGTTTACTTTTCCGCTATCAAGCCATAAGTGTACAACTCTATAGTGACATTGACCAAATAGACCGACTGTAAGTATACTAAATGTATCTAATTAAATAGCGAAGATCCACTAAGCTTAACAGTCACCTGCTAAGAGCTAGGCTTGGCAAGCTCAATGCCATTAGTAGCTCCTAGAAGACGTTTAACATCACCATAAATAGCAAACTGGCCAGCAGTAAGAGCTCCAACCATAATAATACGAGCACCAAGACCCAAGAACAATCCTCTAGGTCCAAGCTCTTTTGCAAGACCCCATAGACGTGAGGTGATGGAACCTTCTCCGCCTTTCTGTTTGTTGATCTTGGAAAGAAGAGTGTCGGCGGGCTGAGATATGATGGCGGCAGCAACACCGGCGATAAGACCTGAGCCTAAATTAACGGCTGTATTCATAGAGTTGGATAATTCGCTTTTTGGCTTGCCAATGGCGAAATAAATACTTTCCTGTAATAGAAAATAAACAAGATAAATTTAGCAATTGGAACTTGATCGTTGAACGATAACACTTTGACGATGAAAAAATTTTTTACTCACAGCAGCTCTCTCGTATACCACGAATTTTGCCATCGTATATGGTACTTGCTATTAGTAACATGCGACAAAATGAAACAATATATTTCAGTAATTGTTCGAATAAATCAGAAAATAGTTAAAAAGCGTTTCAAACCTTGAAGAGAATAGGCCCAAATCCTGAATAAAATCCACGAATTACACCCTCTTCTCGCAACAATCTAGTAAATCCACTAAAAAGCCCAGTAGCAAAAGTGGGCTGAGACACAAGACGAATGCGAGTGGCTTCCAGTGGGCACAGACCAATGTCTGCAAAGAATTCGGCGACGGCAGCAGACGTAAGATATATCGCAGTTCTATTATTTACAGCAGTTTCGTAGCCAATAGCATCAATAAAGGTCTTCTTCCAAAACTCGTAACCACCGAACTTTAATGCGCCTTGAAGGAAGTAACCACTAAATGTTGGGCCAAAGCCAGTGAGAAGTGCACCAGCACCTTCACTACGAATAATTTGACGAGTGGCATTAACCATGCCTCTATTGTATATGGTTGGCTCAAGTTGAATACGAGTCTTTACGACGTCAACTGTAAATTTATTGATCGATTAATTAGTTATAACCATCGAAAAGATGTGTATCGTCCAAAACTCTTTTTTCTGATCTATCAGTATAACGTCTGATCCGTATTCCACTACATTGATATCACAATTATTACCTGGCGTGAGACCACCATGGGTAACAGCACAGCATACAGCGCCAGCAAAAGCAAATCTACTGTATAATCCAAGACCTGTCGGTACTTGGGCGACTACAGGAACTGCAGGAATAACTTGAAGCTTCTCAGTTGCAGAGGCAGCAATAGTCTTGTCGGCCGACATCACTTCTTGTTTATTTTATACTGAGTAGGGAGGTATTGATTTGAGATGAAGTAAGGCAGAATTTAAGAGAAAAAGCCAAGCAGAGAGTGTGCACCACTGGAAGGGATATGTATTAAAGAGGAGAAAACACGCGGGAGGAGACAAAAAACGTTTGGTCCTGCAACATGCTTTTTTTGGTGATTGCGTGCGCTGATACTGTGCGTCAAACTGATGAAAAGAAAAATTGTGAAAAAGTTGCATCCGAAATCTACCGATACTTCTGTACTTGGCAATCATTGTCGTAATTTAGACTAACTAGATATGGCAATAAGCAAACAAGAGCCCATCCCAAATTGAACATCAAAATCAAAATTTTTTATCACGTTTCTTTAAAAAATTATTGTCTAATATAAATACTAACTACAGATAATAATAAGCTGCTAAAGCTAGTTTTACATATGCATAGCATATAGAGGTACTGAATAGCCTATATTAAAGCATGTGGAGTGTATTACTAATGTTATTATGTGTATATATATGAGTGATATAAATACTATTTTAAGAGAACTATAATATTGTCCTTCATCCAGGTAATGAACTACGTCTATACGATCATTTCCCCATACAAGCTCTCCATTATCCACTTGCCAGACTCTACAGCCAATTCATAATTTTCTAGCAATTTATTTTTGACTTCATTGTGCTGCTTGTACTAGAGCTTCGCCATCGAAGCAAGGATCTCTTGGGATTGGTCGATGGGAATGTTCCTTGCCCAACATGCTTTGACTGTAGTAAAAGCTCAGTTAAACCATTCGTGATTAAAAGAATACTCACAGAGACAATCCATGGTCTTTGGTTCTAAAAGAAAAACCCGTAACGCTGTAATCGTTCCTAGTAAATTGCACAAAGTCTGATGTTACGACGTAATTCATTGAAAAAGATAAACCATGCAAAATCGAGCACAGGGCTTACGGATAGGAAATTGTTTTGCCATTTCGAATGTATACTGTTCACTCAAAGGATCAGACTGTAAACAGCTCTAGAGGTCCACCTTAGCTGTGCTTAATAAATATAAAGGACGCACAAAAGTGAATGGGCATGTACTCAATCTCGACACCAGGACCGGCTTCTTGTGCTATTCTCTTCAACTGGGTATACGCTAGGTACGAGTATCAGTATGGTGAAGTAAAATCAAACCCAGATCCTTTTCCCACGAACAGGCACATTGGTCTTGCGTCGCGGGATGACACTTATAATATTTTCGACTTGCTCAAGAGGCACGCCTTTCGAAACAGACAATAGGGCAGCTTCAACAAGATGTAAGCGATCGTGACCAAAGTACAAACGGCCATTCTTGAATTCATCGATCCAGAACGAAGGTACACCCGGAGCTCCACGCTTAACCGCCAGATCAGTAGTCTCACGCAGACTGTTATGATAGGATGTGTTTTCGAAAATGGACTCTCGGTTAACGGTTCAGATAAGGAATGTTTAGAGACTTTGCTGTGTAAACGAGTAAAGAGCGATCGACAATGTCTGCATTATCAACTCAATACAGACGGTAGAGTGCATGGGTTAGCTGAGCACGGTGAGACTCGGAGAGGAGGAGTGCTTTAAAAAAGCAAACTACAATCGAGATTTAACCAGAACTCTGATATACCATTCAACTTTCATCCCAAACATCCATTGGAGACAGTTGACGGTATACGATCAAGTTTTTCGAATCGCTTAGGTGTTAATTACATACTCTCTCTCTCCGATTTCGGACCAGACCGAACGTTGTTAGCAATATATTGAAATGAAATAATTTGGCTAAAAACCAAATTTCCTGCTTGGACTTTTGTCATACCTGGCTTTCCCTATTACAGATAACTTGGTAGCGTTAGTAGCTTCGTAGATACCACTCAACCGTCACTTGGCGGGACATGTTCGGTTCGTTTCGATGCAATGTATGACCATGGACATCGTATTAGTATGTCATAAAAGAATTCTACATTGTGTGACATTTTCTATGAAGACTAGCTCGACCAAATATTCATTGAATATTGAATGCGGGTGATATGGTTTAAATACAAACATACATATTAACCATCTAAAGCTATATGAGAAACTTTCATTCGGATAAATTCATCGGATAAATCGGTCCCATACTCGTTCTAGAATTTGACCCGTTTCGGGATTGTCACATTAGAATAATCTCTTGCATCCGTTCTCAGAATGGGACGTAACAGTAATAATAATGCGGCTTTGAATTGGTAAAGAGTCGTACTCTTGTTGTTAAAAATGGGCTTCGATCCGACCGAACAATACAATCAAATAAATACGATATAGTACGGTGAACACTCTCTAAACGGACCGGCTAATATATATATGTGTGTGGGGATGGATGTCATATTAATATGGTGTTATTAGTATACGATATTCAGGCAATTAATAGTAATCAGAATTACCACCGCTTTTAAAATTTATTCATAATAAAACCTTTTACCAAGATAAACTATTACTATCACCAATTTGCTCACACTCATGAAATGTGGCTCTCTCTCTTTGATAAACAAATTTGTTAATTTTTTTTGTTGTCTCGCGTCGTGTATATACGTCGTAACAGACTTTGCGATATTGTATATAAATCTTGATATCAGCGAGGTACATGTAATTAAGATATATGTTGGTAGGGATATCAACGGGGTATGATATCAAAATTTATATATGCGCGAGAATTTATATACTAATATGGGGAAATCCGTTATGTAAAACCACTGTGAGAGGTTGATTTTAACGGGGTCGATGTTAGAGAGGGTTCACTGTATTAGATTTATACAGTATGTAATAAAAGTTTTTGGAGGAAATTCGACAAAGAGTAAGCAAGCAACACGACAAATGTAGAAAAGAAAAAGGAGGAAAATGCAACAACGCGTGGAGAGTTACCGAGAGTTAGCAAACGCGAGAGTGTGCGAGTAGTGAAGATCTTTATCCACCATGTTCATGTGATTGACCATCTGTAAATGAGCACGTAAACTGAATATGATAACAATAATATGGCAGTTGTTTCAATTTTCTTATTTGATAGACCAATGAAATTACGAGATTTCAATTTTCTATTATGGGTAATTTTATACGTTTTCATATTCTATAGTCGCCCTCACTAGCTCATTAGCTATTGCCAAATAAGGCATTAATGGGATAAATAGCAAATGAGATCGTATCATATATTGATCGCACAAGTAGTCCCAAAATGGCTATATGAAATACTGATTTACCATATATGGTATCACCCTTTCATTTTTGGTGGAGTTGAAAGGTTTAAAGTCATCCCATTTTATTGTCGAGTTATGACTTCCGGTACCATATTATTATTATCATATTCCGTTCACATGCTCATCTATAGATGATAAATCACATGAACATGGTGGATAAAAAATCTGACCTTTTTTTTTTTCTCTTCACTTGCTTTCTACTCGCACACTTCTCGCGTTTGCTAACTCTCGGTAACTCTCTATGCATTTTCCTCCTTTATATGAGTGCCTCTGACTTCCTGGGATTAGTTGCGCCTGTGAGAAATTACGTCAGTCATTTTAGAATGATTAGGTGAGGATTATAAAAAGTTAGAGACTTAGGCATGGTTTGAGGGTGTGTGTAGGTTGATGGTTGTAGAAGGCATTTAAGAATAGCGCCCGCTAATATTATTGACATTTGATAAGACTCTGCCCCAAACAAGTCTATGGTATTGATGATAGTTTCGTCACCCGCGAGTGGCGAGAGATTTTTATGATTAATTCAACGGACGGCCATTTAGGTGAGATGTTGGCGCGTAAATTTTACTACTACAAGTCTGTCATATAGTCTACGTCCAATCCATAGAGTTTCACTCTAGTTCTTTGCTTTCCCTCTCTTTTATGACCTTTTTAAATCTGACCAAGATGGCTCTAAGGAAAAACGCCAGACGAGTAAATGGCAATAATATACATTATGGCACCATTACACGTGATAATTCACGTAAAACTTGCTGATCAGCGTTACAAGAATTTATTTATTTATTTTTTTTTTTTTTTTTTTTTTTTTGATAAAAAGCCAGAGGTAAAATGAATAACCGGTTCCAGACGAGCAACACTCCTAGTTGTGTACTGGCGGGATGTAAAGCTGACTGCCAATGGGCGAGTGGACTCCTGCCTGCGCGTTCATAGGCTTTTCGTCTGCCAATGGGCGGGAAAGCTTCTATGTCGCACCTTATTCCATCAAATGCTATCGCTGCCAATGGGCGGGCCAAGTTCTAAGATGGTCTTCAATATGTTGTGACTGCCAATGGGCGATGACATATTTGGAACCATGTTCCGCCCTGTCTTCCTGTATTTTTATTTTGTTCACACTAATGTCACGTTGAGACAAGGAAATAGGTTAAGAAATGAATCAAGCCATCCTGGTGCTTTATGTGGAAATATTGGGTGTGGGAGATGCCAAGAAAAACATGCGTATAGTCGTTACGAACAGACATCGCATTTGTATTGGAAACACAGCTACGCTGGGGATGGGTAAGTAGAACTGAGAACGCTTGCTGCGTTCGGGCAATGTATATTGACAATAAGTGTTTATCAAACGTTTAGATATGTGCATCGCCTTATTCAAAACAAGTCCGATAGAAAGCTAGTTAAACTATCCTGTCCGAATGCGCCTCCGCAAGTCCAGACACCACCCACCGAGCAAGCTGGACAGGTATACAAAAGTTAATTGTTATGACACATTTTCGCATACTTGCGGAACTTACGTACGACTTGCTTACATGCCAACTTGCAGGATAAAATCGACGCTATAGGTCTCAAGTATTCATACCTCTTAACTACACAACTGTCTTCTCAACAGACTTATTACGAGGAAAAAGTCAACACAATCACCCTTCAGCTTTCATCTCTGTCAGCACAAGTCTAAAATTTATCTGACAGCTATAGTTTGAACTTTTCAGCTGCCCATTAAGTGTTGTCTTCATTTATTATTGACTTTTGACTTTATGATTTCTTCTTGGGAATGGCAATCTACTAATTACCAAGTCAATAAATTAATTATGTATTTAGTATTAATGTCTAATATTTGTTAAAATTTGTACATTTTTATTACCTACAGTATGTGTCGATTTCAGTTTCAACTTAGTCGTTTGGATGTTAGTCGCATCTGTTGTGGTATAGCTCGAAAAATGCATGTAAACATGTTGTGCATAATAATAAAGCCACTGCTGTGTCACTAAAACACCAGCCATTTTGGTTCAAGTGATAATTGTTGCGGTTCCATAGTGCGTGTTGTGTTCAATAATAGATACAAGGTATATTTTGTTGTGATTAAAAATTTTTTTTGCAAAGTAATTCTTTTACTACCAATGTTATTCATCTGAAACAAAGAAAGAGCTATAGAATAAATAGTAAAATTATAACGGAAGATATTAAAACACAGAACTAATTTCCTAAGACAAGCCAGTGCACAGTATAATATAACGGAACTATCAAATTCATTACACATGCCTGTTTAACATTTCTGGTTTATTTCTGGATTTTGTTTACTCCCTGACAAAGCGAGAACGGAGAATTCACAAACTATTATTAATACGGTCACGAAGAGACGTTGGGGTTGGATAAACAATATCAAAATTTTTGATTCACTAATTGTAGAAATTCAAAATGAGTTAAGACAAATCCGTAGCGTTTGTTCAATCCTAAATTAATCTTACCACATATGTTTGCTTTCTAGTCCGAATGCAACAAGCACCCGCTAACTATCCTATTTTTAAAATCTCGAATGTAAACAACCAAATTTTCTGCATCTTCTATTTTCACGCTAGACGACCTTACTGTCGGGCCAATATCTCTTTCCAGTTTTGCTACAGCCAATCGAATTTGATCTATTAATTTTGTAAGCTTGATGTTGGACTCTTCAAGGTCGTGACATTCACTACGTTTTATTTCCATCCGAGAATGAATATCCTGAATTTGTGCGCAAAGCTTGGAAATCTGTCCGGAATTTACTTGATCTTCTTCAGGCTTGCGATATTTCTCTGGTTTGGAATGAAGAAAACAAATACATACAGTAAATTATTGTACCTGTAAAAGTGGATAATCAGGTGAACGAACGGATGGTGCGGACGTCAGACTTACCATGTGTTTCGGTAGTTGAGTTGTCCTGCAAAACCAAGTTAAAGTATACATGTGTGGTAAGCTTTAGACTTACTTTAACTCAGCGTTTAATAAATAAAACAAACCTCATCGTCGAGCAATCCCATTTCCTCTTTTCTAGTAGCGGATTTCCTATTTGCTTCACGTTCGTTATCAGTCAATCCCTTAGCGCCATCCGATGGCCAAAATGGCCGGTAACGTTGAGATATCTTGTTTTCATTCTTTGTTTTGGAGCTTGCCGTTTTTTGATGGTCATAATAGCCATAGGAATTACGTGCACGTGGGATTGCTTTGTCGGTGTATCTACATTGGTAAAATAGCATTAGTATTAGTATTAATAATAAATAATCGACATTAAATAAGGAAAACCAAAACAAAATAACCGTTTAAATGACAGTTTAGCTCGCTGGGACCTTGTTATAGTCATACTCAATAGTATCTATTTCGGTTCCCTTGAACGGTTGTTTTAGCTCACTATTATTTTATAATATCTTTCAGATTGAAATTCATATGCACCAGGCTTGATTTAAACAGTTGAAATCACAAGTGTATCATAACAATAAACAACAATCTAACCTTCCCGGATGTTCTTAATACTAATCTCGCATTTTACACCATTGTTCATAAACTCCAAAAATTCAGGGGTAATACCATAATAGCACTATTGTTCTCGAGCTATACCGAAATTTATCAAGTAGAAATTCCTCGGTTCTTTTGTTTTTAAAAAATCATCAATAATCTTTATATTGTTTAAAGTTTATTTATTGCATGTCAAAGCGGCATTATGTTTAAAAGGTTGTAATAGTAACAGCAGATTTAGGTTATAGTAAAATTAAATTGCCTTGTTATTATTCTGCAAATTCGAAATAAATCGCGATTGTAACTTTATAGCGTAATACGACTATGGGTTTGACAACAGTTTAATAAAGTGGTTCGGAAAAGAACAACATTGTCTGTTCGCTGGTAAAACAAGCGGCATCATATTAAAATGGGTTATTTGTCAATTACAGTTGTAAATGGAATTTGTCTTTCCGAAAATGTTGTCGACTATTTTGCTGTCACACGTACACAAACTTTGTGATGTCTGCACATGTGAGACTGTCCTAGTGACGTGACACAAATTCATATTGTTGTATCAAGAACATTCCAATTTAGAGTTGTGCTTATTATTAATAATAACGTTGTTTAAAAATAATTTTTGGATATTAGCTCTTTATAGTAGATCAACAACATTATTAATCAGATATAAAGGTGATCACGCGAAGTCCCTAGTATCATGATTTTATGGCCTAATCCTAATACCGGCCTGAAACGCTCGGCTAGAAAAACTGCCCCGTCGAACAAAAGATAAGTCGTATATAATAGCTAATAGTAAGAGGGTATATAAA